ATGGCTACAGATTATATTTAATAAACGTCTAATATTAAAAAACGAGTACCTGTTTTTGATAAAGCCTGTCTGATCGGGTGAGATAATGGAGGGCAGATGTTTCTCTAAACGGCGGGCCAACACTTTAGCAAGGATTTTGGTGTCCGTGTTCAGCAAAGATATTGGACGGTATGAGCCACAATCTAAATGATCCTTATCCTTTTTTAGAATTAGGGAGATCACTGCTTGACGCATTGTTGGAGGCAAGGATTGTGAGAGGAAAGATTCTTCAAAAGTTGATTTTAACAATGGATTCAATTGGTTAGAAAACTTCTTAAAAAAAAATCAGAAGGATACCCGTCGGGGCCAGGTGATTTTCCAGACTGCATACTCCATATGGCCATGTCAATTTCAGCATTAGAAATGGGCTCCTCCAAACTGGTGGCCGCATCGTCTCCTAAGGAAGGGATATCAAGTTTCTCAAAGAAATCTTCTAGTGCCAGGTCATCCTTAGCTGGGGGGGAGCTGTATAAAGTCTGATAGTATTTAAAAAAACTATTATTTATACCTTGGTTATCCGTGCACCTTATTCCCTGGTCATTCCGGATCTCAGGGATAGCTTGATTAGCTGTTCTTTGTCGTAGCTGATGAGCTAGCAGCTTGCCTGTTTTTTCTCCATGTTTATACGAGTAGCTACGCAACTTCGAAATTAGATACTCAGCCTGTTTTAAGGTCACCTTTTAAAGGTCAAGAGCCAAATTTGCAATTCATTTCAACATTTGCTTCATTTAAAAAAATCCAAATCTTGTAATACAATAATAAAAAGGCACCTCACTTCTGTATATAGAATTACTGTAAATTTTCAAAGCAAATGAAAAGATATTTTTCAGATTGAATATGAAATCTAACTAGCATAAAATGTGAAATATTTATTTATGAAGAACTGTCTCAAAAATTCTATTAAATAATTCTGGTAGCAGTCTAGTTAACACTATGGATGCCGCTGTCTTCAGGAATCACATGAACCAATGTTTACAAGCAAGGCATGTGAAGCTATTTGGCTCATACATTATAATAAAATCTGTTAATTTTACTGCATAAACTACAGTTTGTATACAAACCCCCTTTGTCATGCATTCAGAGTATGTTGTTTACTGTTACATGCATGTTAGTGTGTTAAACATGTCTTTGGTGCCCTCGACCTTGCGTTGCTTGGTACAATTTAAGAACCCATGATGCAACATGTCACATAGCTTTCTTGAAAATAAACCACACACTGTCAATCACAATCCCCAGGCTGGGGGGCGAGGGGGTTTATTCCTCCTCCGGCTCAACCACAGCTGTGCTTTGTAGCCATAATGACCAGTGTCACTGAGGAGGACTCAGAGACCAGAAGAGTAGACAGCTGAGTGAAAAAAGCCACTATATAATGTCATCAGTGTAGGGGTGTTAACAGAAGACAGATGTGTTTCTGGCTGCATCTGGCCACCATATGTACCTATAGCGTAAAGTTCTTTATCATTAAAATAAAAATGTGTGCAGTCTATAAGAGTCTAAAAGCAAAGCAACTTGAGCTTGTTTTGCTTCAGTTTTGAATCAATAAACAATATAAATCCAATATTTCATCCAGCTAGGTGATACCGGTCATCATCCAGCTCAATAATTAACAAAGCTGCTAGTAAAGATTTGATGATTTATCGGTTATGAATATCTATCAAATCGCTTTTTACCTTTTCTAACTCTTAACAATAAAAGGCTGGTACGGTGTATTGTGTGTTTACATGGTAATATCACCAATGTGCAGTCAGTTTTATGGACGAGTGGAGATTTACAGCTCACATCATGCTTTAAGAGTAAACAAAAGCCATTTGTGTTGATTCAATGAGCTAGGCACACAATCTGTATGAACTCACCATTTAGAAGGGGATTTATCAAAAGGTAAAATAAAGGCGAAATGTACCAGCAAATATTCATTTATTGTTCAAGATTTTCTTTTAGGAAATTAGGGTGACACACACACACACACACACACACACACACACACACACACACACACACACACACACACACACACACGCGCGATCAAGATGTAAATACAATACAACAGCATTTGATAAACATTGGTTAGTTGTGCTCTATATTAATATATTACTGTAAGGTTTACCTTAAATTGCACTTCCAGCCTCAGTTGAATTAGAATATTGGACACATTGTTTGAACTAACACACTGCATTTGTTTTGTGCAAATGTTACTAATGTGACTACTGACAAAAAAATATCTTTTTAATCCTTGAAACTTATTAAAAGTAGCACGAGTTTAAAAACTAAACTCCTCAGTAACAAAACACCAATGGAACTAGCAAACAAATAAATCTAATTAACAGATTACTAAAAAAAGAAGTCTTCTCATTCTATTTGATTCATTGCTTCACTTTAAGCCGTCAACAAATTTAAGCTAATTTCATCATTAACAACGTGCAGGCTGACCTCATTTCTTTTACTGTGTTTGTGAGGGAGTAAAATAACGGCTCGGCTGCCAAACACCTCTTCAGCAAAACAGACAGTGAATGAAACAACCACCCAACAACACAACAGACCTTGGTCCGTCTAATCTTAATTCTTTGCCAACCCTGCTGTACTGGGATCTGATCCAAAGAAGAGGAAATGACGCAAGAGTACATAGTGAGAAACCTGTCCTCAGAATACCATCTCTGTCTCACAAATGCAGCTTATAGATGGCAATGTATACTGCCAATTTGTCTCAAAACACCATAGCACAAATATTAAATATAAATAAATATATTCTGATTGGGATAATAAAATTAGAGATGCATAAAATTGAGACAGATGGCTGCTTTAAAAAAGTGGGCTCCATGATACAGTATGCCAATGAGGCACAACATTATCACCCTGTCTGCCTAACAGGTTTTTAATAGTGTAAGTATTTAACTTGATATATCTCTAACACTAGTGATGTTATTTTGGCCAGTACCTCCTGTATTTATACACTGATATTGTGCTTGCTTATTTATTTATTTATTTATTTATTTATATTAATTTATTTATTCTTGTAATTGGTTTCTTTTAGTTTTAAAAAAAAATAAAAATAAGAAAAAAAGTCCTGAATTTCCATTTGCCCCCGAAATGTTTTGATGAAAACTAATGTAACCATAGACCACTACCTAATACATTGTTCTCTTTTCTCTTTGCGAGAAGAGATAAGGGAGGATAAGGGACCCTCTAGTGGTCTTTTCAGTGAGTGCACGCATGAAGTCCGATCACAAAGTTCAGTGACCATTGAAAAAAAAGAATGCACGATTTACATTTGGCCAGTATCTACTTCAAGGTCACCTCCTTGTTCACTTCTTGGCTCCTTCCAGTGGTGCTGCCATCTTCAGACATCTCCTTTAAAGTCCCATTCTGATTACTCTCACTTATACATCTGCTATGTGTACTGGATCCTGTGTGCTATGTAAAAATCACAACCATCCAACTAACTTAAACACAAAGCAAGACTGCAAGTTGACAAAAAGTCATATCGGTCATGTGACGGGTGAAGATTGCGTTGGCAGCCAAAAATTGCCACCTTTTCAATGCACAATGAAGAGTGACATGGGCCACAGTACAAGTAGTTTGAAATGAATGACCTCTAGAATTATACAATGATCATCTTACCATGAGGGAAAAATTCATAGCAACCCTCGAAATAGTAAGAAATAGACACTTTCGTACTTTAACACTGTGGACCTGTCTACCTAAAACTGCTATTTGGGTGGTAGTTAGAGACCCAGCTCTCATCACAAGGTTCACAAAGAAACAACCAGAGACTCTTGTGAAGTGGCAGTCATTTCAGAAATGTTTACATGAAGAGTTTTATACAGTAGGAACAAATATGACTGATTAACTGTAAGACTTGGTGGTTTTGCACAGCGCCAAGACATCAACAGCAAATCCTTAGATCCATTTAGTTACATGATGGCAGCTCCAAAGATCTCTGTTGCTTGTACTTGGCATGTTCCTCAGTGAACCACTATCTGCAGGCAACTCCAATCTTGATTAGGATCATCTCAAACTTTCTTATTTCAAAGATTATTTGACTTGGTCACTGGAGATTAAAAATTTGCTTTTTAAACCTTAAAAGGTCTTGTTTTCACATCCCAATTTGTCAATGTTCGCTGAATATGAATATTTAAAAGGACATTCCATACCTTAACAGCCATTAATGTTTATTAATAGACACCTAATATTTCCTAACACCTCTAGTTAAATCATGTTATTTGAAGACCTGGATGGATAGTAAATTGAAAAACCAACAGCTTTTATGGATGGAACAAACACCCCATTTATGCAGAGCCTGCAAACACAGACACATTAAAAATAAATAAATTTAAAAAAAAATTAATGTAAATATAGTCTCTCTGTATCATAAATGCTTTCCTCCCTCTGTGCATCCAACCCAGAGTATGCTCAGAGTATCATTTTTTGCAATATATGCTTTTATCCAGATTGCGGAAAACCAGCATTTCAATTAATTTCCCTTCAGTCAATAAACATTATCTCTATTGACAGCATGCTCCTTGTTTGGATCCTGCTACCTCCTCCTTTCCCTGACAGTACTTTTCCTCTCTCCTCTCTTGCTTCCTATTCTCCTTGTCCCGCTCCTTAAAGCAGCCATGACTGTCTGTCTTTCTCTCATCCGTGCTGCTTGAGGCCATTAAAACAGTAGGAAGGAAATAATTCCATTTCAAGAGGCATATCTCATGAGATAACAGCCACTTGCCCCCTCAAACACCTTATCCCTGTCATCCTCACACCTCTGCCTTTCTCATTCTGGTCAAATGTACGGACCACCTGCCCCATTCATTTGCACAGACCACTACACCGCTGCACCGCAGAAGAACACAACCAGAAAAACCAACATCAATACAAACACACAGCATAAATGCAGCAAATTCAGAGCTGCTGGATCAAGAGCATACGGTGACAGTAAGGAACACAAACACACACAGGATCAGACGTACCGTGAGCACATGTTCCCCTTCGTTCTGTTCATCCATTTAGACTAAAACATCCACAAAGCAAAGGCACCAGGGATGTTCACCAGTTCTGTCTGACGTTATCTATGCTATAGAAGGAGCTACGCGTGGCGGTGTCGCACTCGTCTGTTCCCTCTTCCTCGGCTCATCTCTTTATACAGAGGGAGGAAGGGAGAGAGGGAGCGAGCTGCTTCAGAACACACAGTGCTCTGCTCTACCCTGTCAGCCCGCTCTTTGCACAGCAGCCAATCCCACCATGCCTCTATGAATATTTTATTCGCCCAGCCAAGAGCTTAAAAACACACTCACACACCATCACACAGAGGACACATACACACATTTCGAGGACATACAAATGCTCACCCGCTGAGGTATTCAGGTCACAAATTAGGAGACACCACCAACACAGATAAATAGAAACAAGCACACGTGTGGGCTCAGCATTCCTCACTGGGTGCAACGGACTGAAAAAGGGCAAACTGCTGTGTATTCAAATCATCGAGATTCCAAATGCCTTTGACATTCAAAATCCTTATCATAGCTTCAAGGTTGGTCATGTTTTTCAACAACCTGTAATTTAGCAAGGAACTGTGACCCATTTGTTCCTTGTATATAACAAACGTGCTTATGATCAGGGCAAAAGACCATAATTCTGAAACCTGAGCAGCAATAAAAGGGTCTATTTTTTAATTCAAGGAAGCCCCCAGGATCCCTATCCACACCAGAGATACCCAATTAAAAGTTTAAACTAGACTAACCAGAAAACCATAATGGCAAAGTGAAGCCAAACTTAAAATTAAATTATGTATCATAAAAAGGGATTTAAAGTACACATGAAAGCAAATAGAAAGAGTGACATCTAATGGCTGAACCTACACTGAGTTGATGTTAAGGGAAATGAGAACATGAGATTTTGCAAAACTGAACTCACAGCAACATCCAGCAGTGTCACGCAGCATAATCGTATTTAGGAGAAGCATAAGCTTAAAATCTTTCAACAAGTAACATATATTCTTATATTAGAGTTGCCATAATTATTTAACTGTTTGGTACCTGCGAAAGACAAAAAGAAAAACACCCACCAGTTCCCAGTTCTTGAGGAAATATAAACAGCACATTTATGACATTTAGGTCTCCAGTTCTATTTCTTTTTAAGGTAAACACCTAATTAGCCAATTATATAGCAGCAGGTCAATGCATTTAAGAATATAGGCATGAAGATGTGGTCTAGATGTAGAGCATCAGAACGGGGAAGAAAGGTCATTTAAGTGACTTTTGAACGTGGCATGATTGTTGGTGACATTCTGAGCTGAGCATTTTCAGAAGCTGCTAATCTGCTGGGATCTTCCTTCACAACCATTTCTAAAGGTTAACAGGTAGTGATCGTAGAAAAGAAAATATCCAGTGAGCGAGCTGACAATTATTTGTTCATGGCAGAGGTCAGACAAGAGTGGCCAGGTTGCTTTGAGGTGATAGGAAGACAAAGTAACTCAAATAACCACTCCACTCATTACAACCAAGGTGTGCAGAATAGCATTTCTGTTAAAACTTGAGGCAGATGGGAAGAAGGCAGCAGAAGACCACACAACAACTAAGAACAGGAAACTGAGGCTTCACAGTTCAGATGGGCTTACAAAAGCTTAACTATAGAAGATGTGAAAAACTTACTGACATCTAGATGGCAGGTCAACAGATCAGGCTGCTGCTGTTAGTGTAATGGCCTGGTTATATTTTCTTGGCACATTTTGAGCCCCTTAAAAGGTGGTCAGTTAGTAGTAAACACAACAGCCTACCTGAGCATTTTAGTTAACTATGTTCATTCCTTTTTTGCCACAGTGTACCCACTGCTTCCAGGAGGATAACTCACCATGTCACAAATCAAACGATCTTAAACTTATTTCTTGAACATAATGAGTTCACTGTACTCAAATGGCCTCCACAGTCATGAGATCTCAATCCAAGAGAGCACAGAAGAGGTGTAACAGGAGATTCAAATCATGGAAATTCTCTGAGGAATCTGTGTTTTCAGCATCTGATTGAATCTGTGCCACGAAGAATTAAAGGTGTACCTAATAAATTCTCCAGCTGTATTTGTCATTTCTGTGTCACATGTTAAATGTTGAACATTTCTGCCTGTCATGGCATTGCTTTCTACGCCCATGTCAGCTTTACAACTGTAAGGTGCTGACTGGTCAGTCTATTAATCACTTATCTCACTGAATTAAGAAAAAATAGCTTCTTACTCTTTTCAAGTGTGAGAACATGTTTTTGTTTTGTTTTTTTCAATTATATTCAAATGCATAAAATTATCATATAAAACAGTTACTTTCCTTGCTAGAAAGTTCAAGAAAAATGTCGAGGAGACATTCAAGACAGCCTGCCCAACTTTCATTTTTGTGTTCCTGTTCACCCTAGATTAGATTGCCAGCCAACAGTAAATGGAGTGGTGCCTATATACTGCTTTTCTCCTGGAACTGGGGACTAAAATCACTTTTTACTACAAGCCTCATTTACCCAGTAACATACAGTTTTCAGTGCTTAAAATGCTGTTTTTTTGTGTCAGTTTAAAAACACAAAATGTGAAAGAATTTGATTTTCTACTACAGATAAATGCAAAAGGCATCAATTAATTCCTATGCTAATCAAGACTACAAAGTCTAAGCATACTGCTTACTAAAAGAGAAAAGTAAATAAAAAAAAATCAAATCCCCACACTGACTAAATCAAAGGAATATTTGGGACTGTTTTTCTTGGAAATCTTCAGGTTTACTATCCATTAAAATTATTCATTTTCCTGTCGGTTTGTTATGGAATCACCTAATTTCTTTAAGCTTTTCTATGATTTCTGCTTCTAAGAAAGAAAGAACCTCTGAGACACAGCATTTACTCAACCCAGGGTAGTGCTGGATCAGGAAGCTTAGCTGGATCAAGCTGATCTAAGAGCCAATTTTAGACCAGTCTACCACTCAAGACCAGTGGAACAAGTCTTTGTGATCCTGACCCAAGCAGGCAATTCTTTTTTTCTTTCATTCTTCATTCTATCCTTCCTTTCTTTCTCAAATCCTTCTAACTATAACAGGATGGCAAACACCCCTGTCATCACAGGGTGCTTGGTCTGAAACATTATTTAGGTGGACTGTACAAGTAAAATCTACATGAATGCCACGACCCAAGGTTTCCAAGCAGAACACTGCATTACAATAGATCTAACAGGTGATCATTATTAATAACTTCATCTATCAGTAGTTTTGAAGTTGATCAGTGCAGTCAATAAACAAAAACAGAAATCGGGGTGGTAATAATAGCACATTTGGATTTATTAGGCCCAATATTCAAAATGGACGAGATACAAAAAAGGGAAACCCCAATGGTCTAAGTTTAGTTTGTAGACAATTTGTGGTTGATGTTTTT